AAAAATATGGTTTTTGGAAGTGAAAAAGAAAAAGTCATTGTATAATTTACAGTGACAAATCGTAAATTGACACTCCCAGAATTCCATGCATGACACTTCATATTTGATGGGTTTTTTTTTTTTAAATAACGTTTCTTCTTAGTTTTTTCTTATCAGTTGTGTACATTAGGGTTTAATCTTACATCTAATGTTGTTAAATTAATGTTTATTGCATCATTTCAGTATCATGTGGGTCACCATGATGGGGTTTAGTGTTTCTGTGAATGACACTGTGCACCTTCTATATATAAGTATTGCCCTCCTCATCTCGTAGAAAAGCTGTTTGTGATGAGCTTTGGTTCATCACGTGACTTTCTCATCACCACCAGTTTTTGGTGGTTATCAGTGCATTACAATGGTTCAAAACAGATATTAGTACTTCCATATGTTGGTTTATTAACATTGCATCAGTTAATGGAATACAGTATTTTATTGTGAATTTAAGTTAAGTCTGTAAAACCTAAAATGTTGCTACCATATTTTTTATGGTGAAGTTCTGGCAACCACAGCTGCCGGTATTTTACCGTAAATGTCACAGATTTTTTTTTACAGTGTACAGATAATTTTAAATACAAATACACACATCTTACTTGGCAAAATATAGCAAATATGTTCATTTAGTGAAGTTAATGCTTTGCTCTGGCTACAAGATAAGGCTGAGTTTGTTTGGTCCAGTACAAGGGAAGAAATGAGAACCTGACCACCTGCATTCCCTTGACCTCCACATTCTCCAGTTCATTAAAGTGAAACATGCACCAAGAAAAAATGCACCAAAAACCCAAGAAGTGCAAACTACAGCTAGCACATATGCTACAGACCACTTAGACAAACTCAGCATTTTAAAAAACAGCACGGTGAGCAAACGCTCCCGGTATATAAATTAGCTCTCCTGACAGATCCTGCTGAAAAGGAGGAAACAGCAAAATGTCACTTTGAAAGTGATATCAGGGGGAAATTACTTGAGCTCATTAGTACAGACTACAATCAGTGTCATGTTACTAAGCCCCATTTTTCAGCTCAAGTTATCCCTGTACTGTCAGAGATTTACACAATCAGCAAACCACGGCGACAGAACAAAGTGTAGACTATCACAGTGCTTTTGTAAAGTCAAAGTCATTTCCTTTCACTCGGGCACTTCAAAGCGATGGACAGCATGTGCTGTTTTGTTAGACAGACTGTGTGTTCTCAATGAATCAATAGTCATGACCTACAGATAACTGACAGAGTGTCATACTGTGTGCCATGAGGTAATACACACACACACACTGGTCTGGGCCGTGTGTCACGTATTCATACTTCTCTGAACTAACAAACCGGACATTGCTTTTGCAGGAGGTTTCACACCCTGAAATCAGTCGTCTCTACTGACCGCTGTTAATCACTTTGAGTTAATTGAGTGTTTTTTTGAAGGGGCCAAAATATCTTTAACAAAAAGCTGCCATGAGATTTTTTCAGCTTGAACACTAGATTCCCCCGAAAAGGGCTAAGAAACGATAACACACTCTATTGATTGCAGCAAACCCCAGAGCGAGTGCTCGGCTCTTTACCCACAGTATTTGGCTTCAGTGGAAAGATTTGTACCAGCGCAAGTCAAACAATTCAAACCCTTGGAGTGTTTTAGCAAACAAAATAAACAGCACATTTATTGGACTCACAATTCATTTACACTCATGTCTCGATGATTTAAAGCTTGACCTGTAAAATCTGAGGTACAACAGCAACGATAAAAAATCTAGTGGTTAAATAAATAAAGAATAAATTGTTATAATAATAAAAATATTATCAATAGTAACAAAAATACTGCAAATACTACTATAACAATAACTACTAATTATAATTTATATTTTATTATTTCTATTTATAATTTGTATTATAATCATATATAATTATTCCAGTAAATAACTGAATAGTAGGCCTGTGGAGTGTTGGATCGTGCCATGTAATATTTTTCCGGAGGGCAAAAAATTTAATTTTCTTCTGAAAGCAGCGAATGCATTTATTCTTAGCACAAACTGACATTAACTCCACCTAATTAAGCTGTCAACTTTCCATCAGCGTGTTTTAAAACCATACCTGGACCAACCACAAAGATGAATTGCACCATGAATCCTTAAATGGTCTGTCCGGTAGATGCTCTGATGGAAATGAAAAATAGGGGAGTTAAAAGAAATGAACAGGGTGGAAGCAATGAAATGGGAAAGTATAGCAACTGGTTAAAGAAAAAAATAAATAAATACAATTATTTAAATAAAATTAATAATATTCATATTATCATTACTGTAGGGACATAGATATATATTATTATAGGGACACAGAAGCATAGAAAACACAAAAAAAGAATCATTATACTAGTATTATTAATAATATTCATATTATTATTACTGTAGGGACATGATCAATGAAACTAATAAAAACAAAGTGTGCTACAATTTCCCCCTTCAAATATTACTTATATTTAGCTAAAATAACTGAACAAAGTGGGTGTACTGGCCTTTTTGTCTCTTGGGAACAGACAAAAGTGTGAGATTAAACAAAGGCGATCAATTCTAATAACCATAGCATCATAAATCGCAGGAAAATCTACTACTGTTGAACTGACTAAAGTCAGTTTCTCTTGAGAATATGACATTCTGACAGCTTCAAGAAAGTGAAAAAAATACCTATTGGGGAGTTAAAGTTGCACCCCTGAAATATTAGTTATACGCAAGCGGCAACCTTCTGGCCTCTCGTGAAACCAACACGGAAGTGACTAAAACTGCAATTCATCGACTGGCCGCTAGAGGCTGGCTCCAAACGGGAGTCAGTCCCATAGACCCCCCATGTTAAAATGCCCAACTTTACAGCAGAAAAAAAATATGTTTACATCCTGGTATAAAAAGTGGTTTTGGTCTATATAGCTAATTTTGCCCTTCATAACAACTGTGAGGGGGGTGAATTTTTTTTATAACTCATCTGTTTAAATTATATTAAGCCTTAAAGTTCTGCATAATTAAGGGCGTGGCCACTTGAGTGACAGGTGGATTGCCACTGCTGTCACCACCGTTGAGCTAGGTGGGTGTGGTTTCAGAAACCAGCTCCCGCCTCTTTGCCCATTTTCGATTATCCGGGAGTGACGCGTGGTGACGCGCTGCCAAGATGGCGACGGCCGGCTCCGCCCACTTTAGGCTTCAAAAACGCTCTTCGGAAACCTACGGGTGACGTCACGGACACTAC